CTTCCTAAAGCTCTTGTGCATCCTCCTCCCCTGCCCTCCTGTCCTTGCCCACACAAGCCCCAGCTGCTCACTGGTATCTCTGGTAGTCAAGAACGGTTAAAACACAGGGAAGCTGCCGCATCAGGTGCCTGTTGCTTTTGCTCCTGAACCAGACTGGTGCAGCAAATCCATCCAAGACGCTTCTTTCCAGTGGCCGTAGCCTCAAGGTCCAGCCTCCCCCTCCCATTGCTCCCAAACACTCGCCCGGTGTTTGCAACTGACTTCTCTCCATCAGGTACAAGCCCTTGTGTCCACAGACCTCCTAGTGCAAGGTGAAGACCCCACGTCCCGTGCTGTAATCTACACCACACCTCACTCTCTACCAGCTTTCACCACGTACCCTCACACCCAACGCTTCTTATGCCATTACGAATGGCCAGGATGCCAGAAGAAAATCCAGGGGTCAGTGAGAAGAGTGTGTGCTCATCAGTATTGTTTTAATTTGTACCATGGTAGGAAAGCGAAACGGGGTTTATTCCTTGCTCTGCCACTGGCTTACTTTTATCATTGTGAGAAAGTCGCTCAAACTCTTGTACCTTCAGTCCTCGTCTGAAAAAGGAGGTAAAACCCTTGCCTTACGGGTGTTGAGAGCATGAAATCCAGTAACAGGCATGAAATCCTAACTTGTGGCAAGGACGAAGCTGCAATAATTATCTAACAGTCAGACAGACCAAAGAGTTTAGACAGGCTGCACTAGGTAAACTACATTTTATAAGTTTAAACGGGATAAAATGCATCATATTAGATTAGGCTGATAAATAGATTAGGAGTAAGAGGGAGAGGACAGCTTTGTGGACATACAGAAAGGACAAGATTTAATATTTCTACAGTGTAACTTGTTAATCAATTTAGTAAACAATTACACTAGTTCAGATTCTTTACACGTACATTCAAACTTAAAAAAAATAGGACCTCTGCAAGTGCCAGGACAGCTCCCTTGGAAGCGATAGGACTGACAACAAAGCATGAATAAACGTAGTCAACGCAGATGCCCTTTCCAATTAATCTCAGACATTTACCAGTGTCATATTTCTCCCTGTAATCCCTCTGTGATTAATCATTTGCAGCAGAGATCACATTCCCATCTGGGTATTTCTGAGCATGCCAAAGGCAAAGTAGCGGCACTTGTAATTTTACTTACGTCTTTATTCATTTAAATTTTCACTGGTTTATGTTTGGGGGAAAGAGGCACAAGTGCACAGACCTGTCAGATAATGCAAATAAATCAAATCACTGCCCAGGAAGCAAGACACGGCCATGCAACCGGTCAAGGCCTCCTACCCACTCTCTTCACTGCTTTCCGTCTCTGCCCTACACCTGCTTCCCCACGGACAAGCGAGCAAGTCCCTTGCAGTGGGAACAACCACAGACTACTCCAGTTCGTGCTGGAATAGCCAGAGGTGCGGCTCATCAGGAGAATCATCAGGAGATGGAGAGTCCTGATGGAGAGTCCTGATGGCGGTGCCATCACTCTCTTGACCTCCTGTGACTCACTGGGCTGCGCTGGCTGATGGGTTGGTTTCACGTTGCTTCACCAATGTTGAGCTGCATCTGGAAAGCCGTCAACAACCTCTGAGCAGGTAGAGGTCCCACATCATGGCATACTGCCCCCGAGCAGTCAGCAGCCTGTGATGATGCACTTTGGCGTGAGAGAGGACAGGGGCGGCAGGTTATTCTCTGTCCAAGCCTTTCAATTCAATGGTTAGAAAGGGAATCCCGTCCACTATGACCCCGGGCAAAGAGCGAACAGCACCGTGCAATCCATCTCGTAAAATATTCCCAAGAGCAATGCAGCCACAAGTAGCACACCTGCGGGATCAGAAACCCCGAGGATGTAAAGCCAGGGTGAGGACAGGCACCTAAACCAAAGAGACCGCTGAAGTCTGAATACAGATCAGGAGCATGGAGGTTCTCTCCGACACCACGTTAAGACTCACCCCATGCCTGCTTGCTCATTTTCCCGATCCTCTTTTACCCTTTCTTTGCCAAAGCAGCGAACGTGATCTGGGGTATTTTTCTTGCTGTTAGAGTTCATATTTCCTGGACTTTCTCCACAATGCCAGCTGCTAAGCCTTGCACTCCTTCCTCTCCTGATGGGAAAGGTAAGATTCATAGGGAACCTCCCATCCCTGGATCCCCAGCTTTCAAAAAATACCACTAAAACAGAAGCTCTAGATAAAAATCAAGGCAGCGCCAGTATTACTGTAGTAATACTACAGGAAATGGCATCTGTGGGTGGGAAGGGAAGTTGATGGGTCATAAAATGGGAAGCGCGGATTTCCTTCGATGTTTAAAGTTCTGCTGAGGGAAACCAGCAGTAACCCAGCTGCCCTATTCCTTCTAACAACCTCCCAGGGAACGGACAACTTTGAAATAGCACAAGTATTCAGTGTCAGCTGCAAGCTTAGTGACATCAGATGGGCACGGATGGACTCCTACACGCCATTACACCAGACAGGGCGCTCTAGGGGTGAAACGCACACCAGTGCACCCACTGCTACATGCCCGTTACATCTCTAAATCAGGTGTAAGCAGAGATTTGTGCCGATGCACTAATCCGAGATGGCAGAATTTATCTGATGCCCGTTTCATCAGAGCGGGAATGGTATCTGTCACTGAGGAGCTGGTCTCAGGGCTTAGCTTGGGCTACTCTAAATTCCACTTCAGTGAGGGACAACCGATTTTGGCATGTTCAAAGGTCATTTGATGAGCAGATGGAAGAGCTTTCCGTGGTGGTTTGGAGAATCGGTCTTCCTGCGCTGTAGGAGATGTCGGACACGGAGGACGCTGTGTACCTGTAATAAACTAAGCCTATTGCAATAAGCTTCTGACGCAATTCAGAGTAAGGCTCGTTTGCATTCCCTGCCGCCTATTGCCTCCACAGTAAGTCAAAGTCCACGGGAGACATTAAGGGAAATTTCGCAGTGGGTCAGTGGCTAACATGGGGTTAAACTTGGTGAGCAGCCCTCAGCAAAAAGATGGCTAAGCTCAAGGCAAAATAATCTCACATTTCTGACCATCAGGGTAGGGCTCAATATGCACCAGCTGTCTAGGAAGGGACCTGCATCACCTCATGCTCCCCGTATTAATCCTTCATCAATAACCCGAATATTTCCAAGGACTGGCAGCAAACAAAAGAGTCAAACAAACCATTAGAAAATTCCAACAAGAAACAAGAACAAATCGCGTGGTTTGTGCACAACTACCAGGCGAGGCAGTCAGATCACCTTCCAGTCACATAAGCAAGCATACACTCAACGTAAACCATGGGAGAATGAAGCCACTCACATGATTTATATGGTTAAAGAACACGCTTATCTTTCCTTTTTGATATAGATACAGACCTATTGCTTACAAAGCTCATCCCTCTTTTAACCATATGGCCAGCAATTACTTTCCATCAACACACCAATAGCTTCAAGAAGGTCCATGCAAAGAAGGGACTTCTTCTTCCTACTTGGTCTTTGCTACAGCACAGGGCCTTCACTTTGGATTCCCCCCTCGATGGAGCAACAAAACAACCCCAGAAGCTTCCAAAGGACTAAAACTGCTCAGATCAGCCCCTCTGTAACCAAGACTCTGTGGCAGCATCTTTTCCTTTTATTCTTCCGAGCCTAGAGGCACCCAGGCTGCTCTGACAACGTGTAAATACAGGCTACAGCGCAAGGGAGGTCTCAGGCATACAGCGATGCTCGTTCCCGCTCCATGGGGGTGAGAAGGCAGGAGACAAATGGAGGGAAAAGACAAAAATTCTGGGTTTGCCACGCTGGGGACAGAAAAGGAGCGATGTAAATTCTAGCAATTTCATCACAAATTTCACCCGGCCGGGTTTTGCTTTACACACGGCCCCTGGAGAGAAGTGGCTATGGCAGAATCCCCGCTGTAGCTACACCCCAGTGTCTGCTCGGATGACAAAGACAGACAGCTTGAGCCAGGTGAGCTTTAAAGGTTCAGAGAGACAGCGGGTTCACACCGGTTTATTTTACTTCATTGGTCTCACGGTTTAGGAGGCTAGACTTGTGTATGCCTGAAGTTGGCAGCATTATGTCACAGCTGCACTGATGCATGTCCCCTCTCCGCATGCACACACGCATAAGCGCATGCACCTTTCTCTCCCTTGCACGAATAAAACCGGCACCGAACCAAATAATCCCAACTCTTAAATCCTTTGCATTAACAGAAAAACAAACTCGCTTATATTAATCTAGAAACACTGCCTCCAGTTTCAGCACGTGTGATTTCCTATGCGAGGGAGCTGCAGGATCACAACTCCCATAGGGACAAAGAATTCCCTTGGTGACAATTAGCAGCGAGGCTCTGACCTAAGCCCTTGTATTTTAACAAGTGGACGTCATTGTCATTACAGCCACTCCACCCCATTGAGCTGTAAGGCCGAAAATAGCCTCAGCTGTCGAGCTCCATCTCTCTCCATCTCTCGTCAGAGCCATTTGTAGAAATGCGAGGAGGGTGGGGGGTTGCAGTGTGAATCGGTATAGATGCTGGAGAGAAGCTCTGAGGAAAAAAAGCCCTTGCTGAAGAGAAAAGCAGCACTGAGATTATGCCCTGGCAATAAAACTTTTAAAAACACTCCTTGCTGCCACCTCTCCACAGGAACCATATTTTTTTTCCAGGCTCTCCATGCACACTGCTATCTCCAAGCTGGGGACAAAATGTATCAAGTAGAATCAACAGCTTTAAACCTGATTTTCCTCTCTTTTCTGCGCTCCTTTGGAGGTTGATCTTTGCTCTTTCGATAACATGGCCAGAAGTAATTAAGCAAAGCAATCCATATTCGGTTCAGACCAGAAGAGGGATGGATTTACTACCTGCACCTTCAGCTCCATCTTCAAATATGTTTCATAAAGCAAGACATACCCCAGCATAGTAACACTGACGTAGAAACAACCTCACCCCTCCCTCCGCTACGAACAACATTCTCCACTTTCTGCTGGATACCAGCGTCCCCAAGCCCGCTTCTTTTTAGCTGAAGGTTTAGGTCTTACCTGGAGTCTTGTCAGAGTCTGAGGAGAAGCAAAGCTCTGGGCAGAGTAAGGAAAAGCCGATTCCTACTGAGATGACAGAAGGGGGAAGGGGGAAGAGGGGAACAGAGGACACGGGGAGACCATGTTGGTTTTGGTTCCCCCCCCACCACCTTTCCCCTCCAGGAAAATAAAACAGAAACCCCAGCGATGGCAGGGACGTGCGGCAGAAGGTCCCCCCAAGTCGCCCGGCAGTGGCTTTGGTGCTCGGGGTTAGGCTGTGCCGCCCCCCCCCCCCCCCCCCCCCCCCCCCCCCCGGTTGGCCGCCC